TTTTGCAAACTGGATCACTTTTAACTTGAATTCAGCACTGTACGAAAATCTTTTCTGAGCCATTTCTGGGCAGAACGTGGCAAAACGTAACCTAATATACCGGTAACAAGTGCGAAACAATGAGCGCAAAGACAAGTTCAAAAAAGCACGAAATGCAAGTAAAAAAATCTACAACCACTGTATAAGACGCACCCAGTTTTTAGACCCCAAATTTTCGAAAAAGGGTGCATCTTATACATGGGGAAATACGGCATAGTTTTTTGTATATATATCCCTAAATGGTTTGTTTCATACATTTTCAGCCTTCGCTAGATTAAATGATTGTTAAAGTGAGGTTTAAAAACAAAGATTTTAGTCTTCTTCGTCTAACACAATGCAGCACCGCCAGGGGAGTCCCCTCCAGGAACACGGCGGAGCTGCACCCACAGTGCATGGCTGCCAACAGGCTCTGCAGTCAACTAGCCCAGTGTCCCATCCCAGCTGACCACTTTCAAACTGTGTGGCTTTAGACAAATTAACCTGTCTAAGACTTAGTTTTTTCATCTGCAAAACAGGGCTATTGTGAGGATTAAATGAGACAACGCATGGAAAGTATTTGGCATAGTGCTACGCACGTAGCCTGAGTAAACTGCTTTGGGGTGTATTACTTTACTAAGTAGAACTGGCGTATAAAATGCGCCTATGAAATTGGAGGGTTCCATTCAACCTAATCTAAGCATCCAGAGGTGGAACGATGGGGCAGGAGAATATTCTTTCTTATAGTGCAAGGGCAGCACCTAACAGGAGGATCATATATCTGAGTTGTTACCACTTCTGTAGAGGAAGAAAGAAGGGTGGCCAGCATCTATAGCGACAGACACAGGTCCTTTAGTTGCCACAGCTTCTTTCAAGGCATCTTCATTGCCAAAAGGAAGTTCAGTGTACTTTGAACATGTGGCAGCTCGATTTCTGGAGTCATATTGGCACTTTCCATCCTGAAAAAAAAATAGTAATAAGGCAGATAAAGAAGCATACTTCAGGGTCCGGCCGAGTGGCGCGNAGAGGGCAGTGTCACTGGCCCTCATATGTGGGATCCAAACCGGGGCCCTCTGGCATCCCAAGCCAGCTCTTAACCAATGTGCCACTCGGCCGGCCTTAAATACTTTTTAAGTAGAATGTTTCTCTACACTTTTGATGATAGTCACATATAATGACCATGTTTTTATAGTTATCAATTCTTGTTTAAAATGCCCTTTAAAAGATAATGAAATTTGTTGAAGTTCAGTTTAAGCTATACTAATAACATCTTCCACCACATTTTTCATGTGATAGGCATGAACTTAGAAAAGTTAAAGTTCTTGCTGCCTTTTCAGAAATCGTCTACTTATCTAGACCAGTGGTTAGGAAGATCAATCTGAATTAGATAAAAATGAGTAATGGAATATTAAATGCTAAATATTCAAAGAAATCCAATTTTGTTATTTTATTCAGGTTGACTTAATCATTTGCCCCCAAAAAGGTCCTGGCCAAATTGCTAATGATTATATAAGTGTAATTGAATTAGCATGTTAATCGTTGGTTATTAAAATAATTCTTCCCAAGTGTTTGATTGCCTCTTAAGCATTTGTCTACTTTAACATCATGTATTAAATATATATATTGAATCCTTTTAGGTGCAGAGATACAACCTGAGTCATATTAAAAACTTAATAGTTTCTTCCATAACCCATCACCGGCATACCACAATTTACATTCTCATGATAGATTATAATAGTTTTAAGACTAAGAAAAGGATGATATGTGGCAACAGTGCAAAGCTGAAAAGAGGTATTTATTAGGCATATATATGTCATCAATTTACAAGGGGACTTAAAAAGACAAAGGGTGTAAAATCCAACAGTGACAAACATGACAGATTGTCTCAGGTTGATTAATTCTCACACAGTTATATTACATTATTAATTTTTACTTAGCAAACTTTTCCCAAGATCTGCAAAGTTAAAAGTCCAACCATATATTCTGTTAGTACAGCAAATATCCATTGATCATGACACACTTATTTCTACTGGATACAGCAGGTAAAATTAAGTGAAGACAAAGTGTTTCATTTTTCTTGACTTGTTATAACGATGAAGAGACCCTCTAAATTTCTGGGTAAGAGGGATAACTAGCAATTCCACAATGATTTCCACTATTTCTTGCCATCAGAATATATCCTTTGTCACCAAAGTGGTGGCCCCAGCTTTAAAAAAACAAATAACACAAAATTACAAATGAATACAATCAAATCACATTATCAACTTTTTTTCTCTTAGATTGTTTTCCTCCTAAAGTGACTATATATGAAGAGCTGTAAAACAAAATCAGAACAAGATAATATAATCATTTCCCCAGGGCTTTTAGGCAATTTTCAAAAGATACTTTGAAAGGCCTAGTTCTATACTGATAAATAGACTTAACACCTAAGGAAAACAATATAAGATCCATTCCCAACCTTTAGTCCTCCTTTTTTTGTAAATACACCTTATGCAAAGAAAGACTATTATTATCCTTTCCAGGGCTCCATCTCTAAATGTTTTTGCTTGATAGGATCATAGGTGATGATTTCTTATCAAACTTAAATTCCTTTAGAATGTCAACTAAGAAATATTTTGGAGCGACTATTATGGAAAAGACACAGCACAGGGAATTCTAAAGTAAGCAATGAAAAGTGCGGCTTTCAAACAGATTTTTGACCTAGAACTGGAGCTGAGATGAGATTTTCTCACAGTTAAAGCTGGAGTATGAGGCCATGGGAAGAGGTGAGCTCCCTGGCATTGGAGCTGATCAATCACAGGTTTGCACAGCTTGTCAGAGACGTTGCAGAGGGGATTCATGGGTCAGATAAAAGTTAGTGGGGATCAGTTGTTCTCTTTTTTGTTTCATGGACTTTGAGAATTAAAAAAAAAATGCAGATTCACATAAAGTTACCAATTTTTAAATTAGCAAGTACAGACATAAACAAACAAAAAATATACTCCTAATATTACCATCATGTAAAAGAAAGGACATTTTAACAGCAAAAACAAAACTTAAGAGAACAGGGCTGGCCGAGTGGCTCAGTTGGTTAAGAGTTGGCTTGGGAGCGTGAGTTCTGAGCATCAGGGCCGTTGGTTTGGTTCCCACATGGGTCAGTGATGCTGCCCTCTACAGCTAAGATTGTGAAAAACAGCTTGACCTGGAGCTGGGCTGCCATGAGTCCCCGGCGACGGTGTAGGCTGCAGTGGGGCTGCAGTGAGCCACTGTGAGTGGCTGGCCAATGGCCGGCGACCACCTGCTTCAGCCAGGAAGAGTGCAATGATCATAATACCAACATGGGCTAGTGAAGCAGTGTCCTCTACAACTAGACTGAAGAACAAAAGGACAGCAACTTGTCTGTTCTCCTACCTCAATTCCCCAATAAAATCTTAAAAAAAAAAAAACTTAGGAGGACATAATCTTTAGTTTAAGGATAGACCTCTGCATCACACAAATTTAGATTTATGAATGATTCACCTAAATATTCTTTTTTCCCCCCACTTTGTCACAAACTAGTGATAAAAATGGACAAAATCCTTGTAAGAGAAATGATTTCTAAAGTTCTTTATGATTGAGATTTTTGTAATTGTAGGTATACAAATAATTACGAGGCAGAATTCATTAACTGCTGTAACTAGAATGCAAATAAAAGCTTGACATTAAGGAAATGCCTACTGTGTTTGTGTTTGGAGAGCAACAGGAAATTGAGTTGAAGGGAACGTTGGATGTCCCTAGGGGAGTCATCGGGAAAAGAGGATAGAAAAACAGTTTGAGGCCATGTGGTGAAGAGCTTAGAATTGCAGGCTGGGGAACTTACTGTTTTATTCTACAGGCAAAGGGAAGCCATTGCAAATTCTTGCTCAGAATTCAAAGGGAGGCTGTGTTTTTGCATGCCACGGAGAAACTAAGAAATACTGGCTGATTGCAAGAAGACAAGTGGCATAATTTGAAACAGCTGTGCTTTAATAGGCCTCAAATGTCCTATGTACCAGCCACTCACTGGGACACTTTTCAGGTCTCATTTTTCTCTCTCTTGTACGCTAAGCAGAGGGATAGGTGTTCATAAAGAAGACCAGAAGGAATGATCAGAGAAGCAGTCTAGAAGATAAATCAGGAAAATGAAGTGCTGAATGCAGAACAGGAAGTGAAGAAATGGAGGTAGTGAGTAATTTAGAGTGTCACTTTATGAAGAACTATAAATGGTATCATTGTCAATATTATGCCCATCATCATCATCATCATCATCATCATCATCATCATCACAATAAAGCATTTGTTGGGCTTCCCTCTAATTTCTGATTTTAATTAAATATATGTTAAAGTATAACTATATACCTGTTTTTCACAAGCCAGTAGTCTTTCCCATTCTGGTTACCATAGCCAATGACCAGCACACCGTGGTTCACATGCAGAGTACAGGATGGGTCATAGTAGACACCT